CCTCCTCCCTCTCCCTGTCCAACCACCATCCAACTATTTTCTCAAGTCTGAAACTTAGAAGTCATCTTCTCCTCTCCCCGCATGAAATTAGTCATGTAGGTCTTGATGACTATATCCTAAATAGTTTCTGAATCCATTCCTCCTCTTCATTCCCATTACCCAGATAGATGCCTCATTATCTCTCACTGGTATTTTTTCATTAACATTCTAAACAATCTCCTGCCTCTGTCCTCTAATACATATGGCTCAAAAGCAGTATGTGTCCCTAATACATACTCCTATCTATAATCCTTCTCAAGTGCAAATATGATCAACATACTTCCTTACTTAAATATGTACTGTCACTTCAAATGCTTATGGTAATAGTTTCCTCTGCCCTACCCCCCCCCCTCCCAACTACAATATAACAATGCTTATAGAATAGTCTCTTTGCTGTTTTTCAGCGCCATGGCTTTTGATTGCCCTGGAATATTTGTTATATTCTTTTTTTTTTTTTAATAGAGGCATGTTTTATTTATTTATTTGTTTGTTTGTTTTTGTTTATACATGCACTGGGCACAGTCAGAAGTGCGGGAGGGTGAGAGAATTCACCAGAGCCAGAGCGGGGAGCAGAGCAGGTAGAAGGACCGAAGTACACTGCTGAGGGGAGCAGCGGGCGGCAGGAGAGGTCTGCGCGCCATGTGGGACCCTCCTCCGGTGGCCGGGGAGCAGCCGGGGATCGAACCGGCGCCTCCGAGGCCGCGGGCAGCTTCGCAACCCAGCGCTCAACCGCTGCGCCACCAGGGAGGCCCTGTTATATTCTTTTTAAAAAAAGATTTATTTATTGGGGCCTCCCTGGTGGTGCAGGGGGTTAAGATTCAACCTATGAAGCTGTCCACAGCCTCTGCAGCATGAGTTCGATCCCCAGCCAGGGAGCTACCCACATGGTGCAGCAGACCTCTCCTGACTTGCTCGCTGCTCCCCTCAGCAGTGTGCTTCGGTCGATCTGCCTATTCTGTTCCCCACTCTGTCTCTGGTGAATCCTCTCACCCACCGCACCTCTGGCCTGTACCCCAGCTCTTGTATGCATAAATAAATAAAGCTTTAAAAAAGATTGATTTATTTATGCACACAGGAACGGGGGTACAGGCCAGAGGTGCGGTGGGTGAGAGGATTCACCAGAGACAGAGTGGGGAACAGAATAGGCAGATCGACCGAAGCACACTGCTGAGGGGAGCAGCGAGCAAGTCAGGAGAGGTCTGCTGCACCATGTGGGTAGCTCCCTGGCCAGCCAGGGATTGAAATCGTGCTGCAGAGGCTGTGGATTGCTTCATAGTGTTCGACTTATCCTAGGCCCCAGGATTTGTTATATTAAGAAACCATTTCTCCCAGGTTCCAATAAAGCAGTGGTCGTTCCTTGTTCCAGTGTTCTATTACTGTACCTCACTTTACACATACCACAGATGACCTGCAATGTTCTTTCATTTGTAGCAAAATTAGATTTTATATACTAATTGAAATGAGGTGTCGAGGCCACTGTGTGTGATAGTGGAGCATTGGGCATTGCCAAATCCAACCAACACCATTCACATAGCCAATGTTTCAGTCTGTATGTGTGGCCCAGTTAGGTAAACTCTAGGAATGTCTATAACACATTCCTGGCTCCACACTGTGGGTGTCTTGTTGCATTAAATGCTTTTGAGTTAAGCAAGTCTGGGATCCCAGAACTGATTCCTTCATTTTCTAAAGCCAGCTGCTAGGGCTTGGACAGGATGGGTGATTGAGAGTTATCATCAGAACAGGAAACCAGGTTACCCACCTTTGGAGGTGCTTGCCATCAGCCCTTTTTTTTTTTTAAAGATTTATTTATTTGTGTATATAAGAACTGGGGTATAGGCTAGAGGTGTGGGGGGTGGGGTGAAAAGATTCACCAGAGACAGAGCAGGGAGCAGAACAGAAGGAATGACTGAAATACACTGCTGAGGGGAGCAGCGGGCGAGTGAGGAGAGGTCTGCTGTGCCATGTGGGTAGATCCCTGTCTGGGGATCGAACTCGTGCTGCAGTGGCTGTGGTGAGCTTCATAGATTGCGTCTCAACCCCTGGCACCACCAGGGAGGCCCTTCAGCCCTCCTTTTTAGTAGCCTTTCCTGATTTGTTCTCTGTCTCTAGCAAAATACTTACATTTTTGAAACCCAGATCAGATGGATGCGTTTAAGCCTTCCCCTACCCAGGTAGAGTTATTAGATGTTCCTCCTCGTAGCCCCTTAGGTATTTATCACACTAATGGGATTATTATATATTTGCATGTCAATTTCCTTGAATTTGGTTTTCAGCATCTGAATACAAATCTTACTCCTTTTTATATTACCCCAGAGAGGAGCCTGTTGTTGTCTGTGGTGGATTGATTAAATGAATTGGTGTTTCTTCTTGCACCAGGTGAAGCACAGTGGGAAAAGAGTTGGGACCTGGATGCTGCTTCCTGTTCCTCCAACAGGTAGCTTTTTGGCCACAACTCGCAACATTTCCTTCCCCTCATACCACCTGCCTTGGAAGAATTGTTTTGAAAATTAAGAGTCACTAATCACTTACTCAGTGTCTGTGGGTGCTTGGGTGATGAGATGTGGTAACATCACCTGAAGGGGGAGACCCTATGCCTCCTTGACACAAACAACATTGTAAACCCAATGTTACCTCAATTGAAGAAATAAAAAGCAAAAACATCCAGGCACTGTGGTCAGTTTTGAGTATAACATTGTCTTTTCTTCATAAAGCTTTTCAGTCTAGCATGAAAGACAGATAATTTAATAAGCATATTAGGTAAAATACAGTGAGGATTATAATGGGGAGAATTGGGCACCACACGAACATAGAACAGGGACAGAATCTAATCAAGGGCCAGGAGAGGCCTCCCCAGATAGTGAAAACTCAGTGAAGCGTATGCTCGGGACAGGCTGGAGATTATCACTACAGACGTGGCTGTGCTTGAGCTCATAGGAGGCAGGCCTCACCCTGTGGGACATAGGCACCCTAGAAAAGGTAGGATATTCATCAGATCCCACTTCCTTTGATGTTGCTGAGCAATCTATCAGGAGGACATGCCCTTCGGCTAGTGTTGGATGGATTTGTCCATACTCCAGCTAGTCTTGTTGTAACAGGGTGGTCCCCAGGAGAAGGGGAAATTCCAGGTACCCTGCCCCACCCAAGGGAGGGTGGAGCTAAAGAGAAGAGAAGAAGCTGCAGAGGGGACTGAGGAAGGAAGGAAGCAGGATGGAGCCAGAAGGAGCCCTCGAGGAGGCACATGGAGCAGAGAGACACATGAAGAAACTGCGCTTGCCTTTTGGTTGTGGACTGGGTGACAAAGATGTGGGTGAGCCTCATGGGGAGGTAACAGTGGCGGGTTGTGTCTTGATTTTGATGTAGCTCTTTTCCTCCCAGACTTGTCTGATTTTTTCTGATCTTTTTCTGTGGGTCCCCACTGAAAGGTGCTTTAGACTTGTGGCAGGCTTTGGGGCCTTGCCCTGGGACAATCCTGCTTGGGTGGACTTTTACCCATGAGGGGACGGGTAACTTTGGGTGCTTGATTTAGGAACTATATTCTTTGCCTTTCTGTATTGTTTACTAATTGTATTAAAGTTCCTTTTCATTAAAGTCTCATATGTTTTGTGTTGATGTGGTGGATGGCAGAACCTCTTTAGAGCAGGCAGGTTTGGGGGCTCTGGGGTGCCCCTCTCCCTGCCCAGTAACATTGTGACTGAGAAAGTGAGCCCTCCAGTTAAGAATATAAACCACAGGGCCTCCCCGGTGGCGCAGCAGTTGAGCACTGGGTTGTGAAGCTGCCCGCAGCTTCTGCAGTGCCGGTTCCATCCCCGGCTGCTCCCCAGCCACCAAAGGAGGGTCCCACATGGCACGCAGACCTCTCCTGCCACCCGCTGCTCCCCTCAGCAGTGTCCTTCGGTCCTTCTGCCTGCTCTGCTCCCTGCTCTGGCTCTGGTGAATTCTCTCACCCTCCCGCGCTTCTGACTGTACCCAGTACTTGTATAAATAAATAAATAAATCTTAAAAGAAAAAATGTTAAAAAAAAAGAATATAAACCACAGATTATATAGATACAATGGAATACTACTCAGCTATATAAAAAAGATGAACTCTTGTCATTTTTGAAAATATGAATGAAATTGGAGGGGATTATGCTGAGTGACATGAATCATGAGAAAGACAAATACTAGATGATTTCACTTATGTGTGGAATATAGAGCAACAAAAACAAAGGAACAGACAAAACCAACCAAATGAAAACTAGAAATCTCACGGTAGAACTGAGGCTACCAGATGGGGAGGGGAAGGATGGAGAGCAAAGTGTGGAGGGTGCCCTATGGATTATGGTGGAGGACCGTGGGTGCCTTGGTGGGAAGATTGATGTGATGACCCATACGTCAGATACAGTGTTGCATACCAACATTACTCAATTAAAAAAAAATTTAAAAGTAGAGTAATAGGGGCCTCCCCAGTGGTGCAGCGGTTGAGCGCTGGGTTGCGAAGCTGCCCGCAGCCTCTGCAGCGCCCATTCGATCCCCAGATCCTCCCCGGCCACTGGAGGAGGGTCCCACATGGCGCGCAGACCTCTCCTGCCGCCCGCTGCTCCCCTCAGCAGTGTACTTTGGTCCTTCTGCCTGCTCTGCTCCTGCTCTGGCTCTGGTGAATTCTCTCACCCTCCCGCGCTTCTGACTGTACCCAGTGCTTGTATAAATAAATAAACAAAAAAAATCTCAAACAAAAAAAAGAAGTTAATTATAAAAAAAAAAAAAAGTAGAGTAATAAGAATATGAGCCACAGAAATGGGAAACGTGAGGGGCCTGTGATATTTGTAGGCAAGGCAGCACTGTTGGCTTCTGCCTTGAGTGCATCCTGAAGCACACCACCTCCTCTGTAACCCCCTGGTCCAGGCCACCATCACTGGTTACTGACAAAACTGTAAAAGCTTCCAAACTGGTCTTCCTGTTTCTACCCCTGCCCTCCTACAGTCTGTCTGCACACATATTCCAAGTCTACTTTGGGCACGTTAGCTTGAAGAAGACAAGCAGTTTGCAAGTAAAGGAAGGGTCGTTGAAAGCAGATGGCAGGAAGCTGGTGATGGCCTGCAGGATGAGGAAATGCAGGTAAGTAAGTGCTCCCTGCCTACTACACAGCGGGAACATGTGGTACGTAAATAAACAAAACCAAATACGCCTTCCCCTGTTGTTTTTGTATTAAAGGGTTTTTAGATAAGCCCCTGCTGCTTCCCCTTTTCCCACACTCCCATCCTCCACATTTCCCACACATTCCCGGGTTGTTTCGGGCTGCAAATTTCCCATCTCTCTGCCCCCTCATCTCCTTTTCCTGACTCATCCCTCACAGGCTCTCCCAGCAATGCATGAATATATCCTATTATCTATCTATCAAAGCCAGCTCCAACCCTCATCATAAAGCCCCAGACTGGGGGAAGTGGGGGGTGGAGCCAGTGCCTCATTTGGTTAGCGTCTGGCTGGATGTGACCCAAAGTAAAAAGCTGGACCCTGAGTGTGGGTTTGCAGTGAGGACAAACAACTGACCCAGGACCTCAGCTTGTATTTCAAATCTTGGCATTTTTGAAATGCCAGCAAAGTAAGGAACTGAATTTCAACACCTTTTTTTCTTTTCCCAATTTTTATTTTAAAATATTTTAAGCTTACCATACAGATGAAAGAAAAAAAGGAGTGAAGTCCTTAGATTTCTCACCTAAATTCAGCAGTTAACATTTGCTTTCTCTCTCTATTCTTCCCCTTTACACCTCTTAGATTATTCTCTCTCCCCCCATTTCACCCCAATAAATCTCTTCAAAGTAAATTGCACACAGCTTGAGACTTCACTCTACTTTTTTATGTATTTCCTGAGAATATGTACATTTTCCAATACATTGCAATCTATCACACCCACAAACTTTTTTTTTTTTTTAAGATTTATTTTTATACAAGAACAGGGGTACAGGCCAGATCTGCGGGAGGGTAAGAGGATTCACCGGAGACAGAGCAGGGAAAAGAACAGGCAGACTGACTGAAATATATTGCTGAGTGGAGCAGCGGGCAAGACAGGAGAGGTCTGCCACACCATGTAGGATTCTCACTGGCCAGTCGGGATCGAACCGGCACTGCTGAGGCCGCGGACAGCTTCACAGCTTCACCTGCTGCGCCACTGGGGAGGCCCTACTGTGATTATTTTTTATGCTCAAATTGTTTCAAATTTGGCCAGTAGAGCTAACATCTTTAACATTTGATTATTTATATTGATAAGGTTATTACTACATGGCAAGCAGTTATTTTCTACTACCTTTTTTTGAAATGGGGTTTGGGATTAGATTTTAGATAAGAAATTTTAAGTGTTAATCAGGATTATATGTTTTTAGATGTGTAACCATTTGAAGAATTTCTAGTTGCCTTAAACCACATGTGTTCATGGAATATGAGTCAGAAAAAGTATAGTTAGTGGGAAAAGATGAAGTCCTAGAGGTGTCCCAGAAACTACCATTTTCATGGCACATGGAGTGAGCTGATACTAGAGAATATTTTCTTTTAATCTAGAAGCTTCCAGGACAATGCCAAGTTTATGGTTCATCATCAAAAGAGGGCTTCATAGGGCTTCCCTGGTGGCGCAAGGGGTTAAGATGGGGAACCTATGAAGCTATCCACAGTAACTGCAGCACGAGTTCGATCCCCACCCAGGGAGCAGCAGATCTCTCCTGACTCACCCACTGCTCCCCTCAGCAGTGTATTTCAGTGTACACTGTGTATTTCAGTGTATTTCAGTGTATGTCTGTTCTATTCCCCCACTCTGTCTTGTGGTGAATCCTCTCACCCCCACACACACCTCTGGCCTACACCCCAGTTCTTGTATGCATAAACAAATCTTAAAAAAAAACACAGAGGGCTTCATAGCTGTACACAACTGTGTTCAAACCCCCAGTTCTTTCCTAGCTGTGTGACTATAAATTCCTTCACCTTTCTTCCCTCAGTTTCCTCTTATACATAGTAGGAATATTGTTAACCATTATTAAGATTTTGTAATGATTTAAAATAAGGTAGTTTTAGTACTAGTCAAATAGTAGGAACTCAGAACAAGTCACTCCTCTTAAAAGGGAAGTAAAGAGAGGAACTAAGTCGGTTAAAAGCTTGTTTCATTGTAACTAAAAAATGTAAGTGAGCATGCTGCCCCAAGATGAAGACATTCTATATACATTTCCCTGCTCACACAAACCTATAGAAAATGTCTCTCACATACTGAAATGAAATCCATAGGGTAAGGATTTTTTGCTTACTCTTTTGACTTCTGTCTACATCTTAATAGATGCTCATTAGACAGCTTTGAATGAACAAATCAGTGAATAAATATAGCTTACCAATAAAATAGAGACACTACTGCTTATGTTACTCAAACTGCCTACCCCTGCCCTTCACCCCCTTTTCTAGAGTTGGACCCTTCTGATGTAAAATGGTGTGTCAGTCACCTACTGCCATTGTTATGCTGTCTAAAAAATTAACCTGATGCTCAGTTATTTAAAATAATAACCCCTATTGTAAACCAATGTTACCTCAATAAAAAAATTATTACAAAAATAAAACAATCATCTTTTATTCTCATGCTCATAGGTTTGTGAGTTGACTTAACTGACGTAGACTGGTCCCTGGCTCTGGGCTCCAAACTTCAGGTTAGATTTCATTGTTTCATGTGTCTCTCCTTGGACCAGTGACCACCTGGAGCCTTTGATTGGTTCAGTGTATCTCATTCTGGGACCCAAGTTACAAGGTATGTTGGTATGGGTATGGTGTCTTTCAGCTGAGATTAATTTTAGGTTTTCCCCTCATTAAAGCTGCAGTATGAATAGTCATTGTCCTGACAAATTCAGGAGAGTGTTTTCTTATCTTCTAGATATGGACATATCCACACATCTTCCCAAAGAGAAACGTGAATTCTCATGCAGTACAAGCTGCAAGAAATAAAAGAGGGGCCTGCCTGGTGGTGCAAGGAGTTAAGTCTCAGCACTATGAAGCTATCGGCAGCCACTGCAGCATGAGTTCGATCCCCAGCCAGGGAGCTACGTACATGGTGCAGCAGACCTCTCCTGTCTCGCCCACTGCTCCCCTCAGCAGTGTATTTCAGTCAATCAGCCTTTTTGCTCCCCACACTGTCTCTGGTGAGACACTCCCCCATCTGGCCTATACCCCAGTTCTTGTATGCATAAATGAATAAATCTTAAAAAAAAAAAAGAAGAGGGCCTCCCCGGTGGCGCAGCGGTTGAGCGCTGGGTTGTGAAGCTGCCCGCAGCCTCTGCAGTGCTGGTTCGATCCCCGGCTGCTCCCCGGCCACCGGAGGAGGGTCCCACATGACGTGCAGACCTCTCCTGCCACCCGCTGCTCCCCTCAGCAGTGTACTAGGGTCCTTCTGCCTGCTCTGCTCCCCGCTCTGGCTCTGGTGAATTCTCTCACCCTCCCACGCTTCTGACTGTACTCAGTGCTTGTATAAATAAATAAATAAATCTTTAAAAAAAAAAAAAGAAGAGTCATATACTTCCTGAACATTCTGAAGGGAGTTGACTAAATTCTTGGTCAACAGCTCTTGTTCTCAGTTCTCATGGGGATATGAGCAGGGACTGGTTTATTTCTTACATAACAAAATCATGGTAGGACAAAGGAAAAAATAATGTGATTGCAACAAACTTTTGCAGTTCTCCTTTGGTCCTCCATCCAAACCCCGACTTCCTCATGCAATCCAATACCCCCGTGATTTAAAACAGATGACGTTAGAGGTAAAGCTATTAGACAGGAGATCTCTCTCTCTCTCTCTTTTTTTTTTTAAAGATTTATTTATTTATGCATACAAGAACTGAGGTACAGGACAGAGATGCAGAGGGTGAAAGGATTCACCAGAGACAAGAGTAGGGAACAGAAGAGGCAGACTGACTGAAATACACTGCTGAGGGGAGCAGTGGATGAGTCAGGAGAGGTCTGATTTGCCATGGGGGTTGCTCCCTGGCCGGCTGGGGATCGAACTCGTGCTGCAGCGGCTGCTGATATCTTCATAGGCTGCATCTTAACCCCTTGCGCTACCAGGGAGGCCCTAGACAGGAGATCTTACAATCTAACTCTGCATTCCCGACTTACCATCCTTTCCCATTCCCAGGTATTCTCCCTTTCCAGTCCAATGTTAAGTCTGCCATCTCAGCTAAAATCTCATACCAGGGCCTTCAGTCTCAGTACTGTCAGGCTGTTGCCAGCCACTGCAACATGGGTTCGATCACCAGCGAGGGAGCTAACCCACATGGCACAACAGACCTCTCCTGTCTCGCCCACTGCTCCCTCAGGAGTAAGTATTTCAGTAGAGTCACCTGTTGTGCTCCTCACTCTGTCTCTGGTGAATCCTCTCACCCCCCGCCCCTCTGGCCTACACCCCAGTTCTTGTATGCATACAAAAATAAAATAAATCTTTAAAAAAATAAATAAAAATAAAATCTCATACCAGATTTCTAATGTACCAGATTATCCCTTTTCTCATTTCAATTTCTTGTTCAGTAAGAGTTTTTTCCTTATGTCTTTTAAGGAAGGTGCCAGAGGTGCGGGGGGTGGGAGTAAGAGGAATCACCAGAGACAAGAGTGGGAAAGAGCAGGCAGACTGACTGAAATATACTGCTGAGGGAAACAGCTGGTGAGACAGGAGAGGTCTGCTGTGCCATGTGGGTTGCTCCCTGGTCGGCCAGGTATTGAACTCGTGCTGCAGAGGCTGCGGATTCCTTCATAGTGCCGTGCTTAACCCCTTGCACCACCAGGGAGGCCCCTCTCCTATCTTTTTAAAAGATTTTTATTTTATTTTGTGTAGAAGAGCTGGGGTATAGGCCAGAAGTGCGGGAGATGTGAGAGGATTCACCAGAGATAGAGTGGGGAGCAGAGCAGGCAGATCTACTAAAATACCCCGCTAAAGGGAACAGCGGGCCAAACAGAAGAGATCTGCTACACCATATGGGCCTGCTCCCTGGCCAGGGATGGAAGTCAGGCCACCACAGAGTACTTTGAAGTAAGAGTGCTGATACTTAACCAAGGGAGGCCCAAATTTCTCCAATCTTAAAGAAAAATCCCATTTGTGATCTTGTATTCTCCTCCAGATTCTGCCATAGGGAGTTGTCTATGGGAATCTAACTAGAGAAGGTGAAGATTCCAACAGCAAATGGTGACCCTTGGGAAATAAAGCTGGTCAAGGAGGGGATGTCAGATAATGAGATAAATGTTTAATTGATATTAAAGGAAGCAATTAGCAATGAATTCGATTTAATAATTAAGTTCAGGAAGATTGCTGGTCAACATATAAAAATCAATAAAATATTTGTGTATGCCTGCAATAATCATCTAAAACCATAATTAAAATATAAATGAACATTCAATATAGTCATCTAGAACCATAAATTATCTAGGAATTATCCTCATCAAGAGTTTTGGACTGAGGGCCTCCCCGGTGGCGCAGCGGTTTAGCGCTGGGTTGCGAAGCTGTCCGCAGCCTCGGCAGCACCGGTTCGATCCCCGGCTGCTCCCCGGCCATCGGAGGAGGGTCCCACATGGCACGCAGACCTCCCCTGCCGCCCGCTGCACCCCTCAGCAGTGTACTTCGGTCCTTCTGCCTGCTCTGCTCCCCGCTCTGGCTCTGGTGAATTCTCTCACCCTCCCACGCTTCTGACTGTACCCAGTGCATGTATAAATAAATAAATAAATAAATCTTTAAAAAAAAAAAAAAAGAGTTTTGCACTGAATTATATCCATTTTCCCAAATTCCTATGTTGAAGTCCTTACTACCAGTACCTCTGAATGTTACATACTTGGAGATAGGATTGCTAAAGTGGTAATTAAATTAAAATGTGGTCATTAGGGTCAGACCTAATCTAATATGATCTGCATCCTTATAACAGGGAGAAGCAGTCATTTGCCAGCCAAGGAGAGAGAGACCTTAGAATGAAACCAATTCTATGGGTAACTTTTTTTTTTTTTTAATTTTTTTTTCTTTTTTTTTTTTTTATAGAGGCATGTTTTTATTTATTTGTTTGTTTGTTTGTTTGTTTATACATGCACTGGGTACAGTCAGAAGCGCGGGAGGGTGAGAGAATTCACCAGAGCCAGAGCGGGGAGCAGAGCAGGCAGAAGGACCGAAGTACACTGCTGAGGGGAGCAGCGGGCGGCAGGAGAGGTCTGCGCACCATGTGGGACCCTCCTCCAGTGGCCGGGGAGCAGCCGGGGATCGAACCGGCGCCGCAGAGGCCGCGGGCAGCTTCGCAACCCAGCGCTCAACCACTGCGCCACCGGGGAGGCCCATATAACTTTTTTTTTTTAAATAGTAAAGCTTTTTTTTATTATTTTAAGATTTACTTATGCATACAAGAGCTGGGGTACAGGCCTAGGTGTGGGGGGTGAGAGGATTCACCAGAGATAGAGCGGGGAACAGAACAGGCAGACTGACAAAATACACTGCTGAGGGGAGCAGTGGGCGAATCAGGAGAGGTCTGCTGCACCATGTGGGTTGCTCCCTGGCCAGCCGGGGTTGCGAACTCATGCTGCAGAGGCTGCATATTGCTTCATAGTGTTGTGCTTAACCCATTGTGCCACCAGGGAGGCCCCTCTGTGGGTATCTTAATCCAGATTTCTAGTCTCTAGAACTGGGAGAAAATTAATTTCTATTGTTTAAGCCACACAGATTATGGCAGCCCTGGCAAGTGAATACAGCAAGGATATAGAAAACTTCAATAACTTAGGTAAGGCTCTTCCTCTTCCCTTTGCTTCCTTTCCTTCTGATTTGGTTTTTAGCCTTTGGTGTGGCAGAGCAAGACATGCTTCCGTGGTTGGCAATGGGAGTCAGTGGCAGAGTATCAGGTTTTGGAACTGGTGCAAGCTTAGGTGGGTATGTGTGTGCGTGCGTGCGTGCGTGCGTGTGTGCGTGCGTGCGTGTGTGCGTGCGTGCGTGTGTGTGTGTGTGTGTGTGTGAGGGAGGGGTGGTGACCCAACAAGAGTCAGTTTCTAGGTGGGGTAGGGTGAGGAAAGTATCCAAAGACTTGCCCTGGCATATTCCATTGTCCCAGAAAGCAGGGATGTGCTCAAATAATGGGGACATGTCCAAAGGATTCCCACTAGAGAGGCTCCCAATAGCCACACTGGGGATAGTTTGAACATCGAAATAATAACAATGATGATGGATTATAACTCTTTGAATATAACAGAATTTTTTTCTATACAGATAATAAATAAGTTACTAAATTGAACATTTGGGGCCTCCCTGGTGGCACGTGGATTAAAGACACAGTGCAATCAAGCTATCACCAGCCACTGCAGCACAAGTTTGATCCCAGGTTGCCAGGGAGCAATCCACATGGCGCAGCAGACCTCTCCTGTTTCTCCAGCTGCTCCCCTCAGCAGTGTATTCAGTAGATCTGCCTGTTCTGCTCCTACTCTGCCTCTGGTGAATCCTCTCACCCCCCATACCTCTGGCCTACACCCCAGTTCTTGTATGCATAAATAAATAAATCTTAAAAAACAATGAGATAGACTCCTGGGGACTCCAAGGAGGGAGGAGGGGGCTCACATGACAGGAGTGAGTGGTTCATGTGGTAAAGATCAGTTACTTTGCAAATAGATGTTTGCTCTGCCATATAAATGGGTTTCTCTGATACAGAGTTTATTTCTGATTAAAAATCCTAATTCTGAATAACTCCAATTTTTATTTCTCTAGGTAGTTAAGGGAGTGGTAGAAGTTCCTCTTGAACCTGAAGTTCCTGACCTCACTTGAAATAATCCACAAGCCAAAATGACACGTCTGATAAAGGCGTGTTCTGAACATCTTGGGAAATCCTATCCTTCAGTTGTATATTTGAAATAGGTATTACGGCAGGTCAACAATTTACTTTCAAATGACTTCGAAGGGGAAAAAAACACTTCCTTGTTCTGTATATTCACAATTTTTAAAGCTTTGTGGTTATTTCAAAATTTAAAACAAAAGAAAACTCTGATATAGTACGTAAGAGATGATCATCATACATGGTCTGATGGGTGGGACCACTGGGGACAAGTATCCATTCTCCCCAAAGTAAACTTTGACTCTTGTGTTAACTCATTAGGAGCATCTGTCAAAGAGTTTGAGGAAATCAATTAAAATATTATTCTAAAATTTACATAGAGATATAATTCCATAAATAGCTGAATCAACTTTATATTGAAAACAATATATTATGTATATTATGCAATATGTTACCCTTAAAAATAAAGTATGAGTTCTTGCCTTGTCAGCTATTAAGTCATACTAAAAAACCATAGTAAGAGTAGAATGGTTTTTGGTAGGGGCTGATGGGTGATGGGAAGGGATAGAGAAGGAGGGAAAGGTCAGTTAAGGGTACAAACTTTCAGACTTTGAGTTATAAGATGAATGCGTTTTCTAGGTCTGTTGTTCAGCATGGTAACTGTAGTTCATAAATAATATTATACAGTATACTTGAAATTTTCTGAGAGTAGATTTTCAGTATGCTTACCACGTACACACACAAAGTTAACTGTGAGGTGATGCATGTCTTAACTTTTTTGATTGGTGTAATCATTTCACAGTGCATATGTATATCAAATCACCAAGATGAACTCTTCAAATATATACAATTTTTTATCAACTATTTCTCAATAAAACTGGGGGGTGGGAGGTGATGGTGATTGACTAAACGAATAGCCACAATAATAAAAGCAGAGTGGTTTTGGTGTAAGAATAGGCAATTGGGCCAATGAAACAGAATAGAGTTCAAGAGATAATCACCTACATACATGAGAATCTAGTTATATAATATATTACATAAAGCAATGGACAAAGGATTAAATACTTAATAGGTGAGTTTGTTTCACCTTATAGAAGAAAATTAAGCTAAATTCCTATCTAATACCATATACAAAACTGGATTATAGGGTGATTAAAAGCCTTAGACTGAATGGTAAAATTAAAATGTTGATAGAAATAACTAGTAGACTTCTTTGTGATCTAGAGTTAAGGAAAGATTTCTTTAAATCATGAAAAGCATAAATCATAAGACAAAAAGTTCAATAAAAGTCTGTTTCATAAAGGACACCATGGACAAAATTAATAGACAGCTGACAGAATGGAGGAAGGTATTATTTACAGTGTCTAAAACAAACCAGAGATTAATATCTAGAATGTATAATGAATTCCTACAAAACCAACAAAGACAGCTGCCCCAGCATGAAAACAGCAAGGTAAGAATGCGGTTTATTTATATGCGGGGATATGGGGCCTGAAGATGTTGCTGCAAGAGCCTCCCCACTTTCCCTTGCCCCTCAGCCTAGCAGAGTGGGGACCAATGAGGGTGTCCTGAAGAGGCTGAGTGCTGAGAAGTGTTCTGATTCCACATCTATAATGAAGGCAGCACCAACAGGATTTGCTGATACACGGAAGATAAGGTATCAGAGAAATAAAGGCATTAGGGATGACACCAAGGTTTTCCAGCTGGGGGACTGGAAGGATGGATTTGCTTGAGATCAGGACAAAGTAGGCTGTGCTGGAATGGGTTTGGGATGAAGGAAGATCAGGTGTCCAGTCTTGAATGTGGGAAGTTTGTAATGGCTAGTTCACTTTCGTCACTTAATATTAGGCAAACCACTTAATAGTTTCATAGCTCTTGCTTAATTTCCCTTTCTGTGAAGTTTTCGAGTCATTTTTCTTTTGCTCTTGGGAATCTTGTGGAATAGTTAGTCCACTTTCCGCAATTAACAGGTGAGGAAACTGAGTTCCAGAGAGGGAGGATGTAAAGGCAGGCCTGAAACCCCAGGTTCCCCTTCCTTTTGGGTGATCTTCCCTGCTTGTGGTACACTGCATCTCTCCTGCTTCAACCAGGCAAAGAGGTGAAACTATAGACTTCTGTTCTGTATAAAGTGGGATACAAATGCTAGGTTTTGTATCACTGATGTGTTGAATTATGGAAATGACTTCTTAGTTCCTTTGCAAATTCACCTTGTTCAAAAGATAAGGGCATCTGTAGGTCCTATAATTCCTGGCTCCCTGGTAATAATAGAAGTGAAAATGCAGTTCTTCTGGCACACCCTTGTTTAACCCTTGTTAAAAGGCAGGTTACCTCCCCATTCAAGTTGTCTTTCCAAACAAGTAGATTGTTCGTGGTTGCTGTAAGCATGAAGCCACCTGGTGCATGGGCACTGGGCTTGAACTTGGGCATGAAAGCAACCATTCAGGAATGCCACCTTGTCTACAGCTACACTGGAAATGCCATCATCAATGTTAATAACTAATATTTATGTCCCAGGCACTGTCTGACCTATGTCACTGGTATTCATTCATTTTGCCTACCAACCATCCTGTGAGATACAGTATTATTAACAGCAAATCAGTTTTAGGCACATGGAAAACAGACGGATTAAGTAATTTGCCTAAGGTCTCTCACTGGTAATTAGTGGGAGAAGGAGAATCTTGCTCTAGGGCCCAGACCAGTAAGCAACTTTGCACTGGGAATTTACTTCTCCAAATGTCTCTTCTTGTTTGTTTGTTTTTTGAAAAGATAGTCATCTACACTGAGAAGCAGGTGGGGAAATCCATTTTCAGTCATTCATACTGCCCTGTAATTTAGATTCTCAGGACATTTCCTGTCCACTTGAGAGTAGACACCTGTTCACTAGCAATTTGGACATTGAGAAGGAAACATTTTACACCCAGAATTAACATTTATGGAGCTCTGATTGGGATTTGATAGACATTGTGACATACATTAAAGAAACCTCCTAAGGCCCCTGCAATGTAATAATTAGGTTCTTTCATGTTGGAAAGGAAATGGGGGGGTCCCCAGACTGGAGATGAGTTTGGTCTCTGAGCATTCCCGGTGACTTCCCAAGATCCTTCATGCTCTTAGGAAGGTGGGGAGGCTTTCTGGCAGGGAGTGGCAGCGTGCTAAAACCAGACACCACAGGTCTGTGGGGCTCTGGGCCAGGAAATGTGCTGAGTTCACAAACCTTGATAAGGACCAGGACTGGAACCGCCTTCCCACCTCTGAGGCCCTGTGTCAGGGCGGAGGCCATTTCCACAGCAACCAAAGTTTAGTGCCACAGGCCATCTGAATCCTCCACCTCCCAAGCAGGGACATTTTTGTGCTTGAGGAAGAGACAAGAGAACTAGAACTAATTTTAATTTGAAAATGTTCCATGACTTTTGTTATTTGCCATCAGTCTTTCAAATACAAACATCCTGAATTCATCAACTTATATGCATCTGGAATTTGAAATCAAAGGCCCACCACGCCCTACACAGGCTGTTCTTTGTTTTGTAAATCTACTGTGCATTTCAGTTTAGTCTGGAAACTTCTTTGCTCTGGATCACTTGCTTTGACTTTTTTTCAGAGGCTAAAAGAAGGGGTGACTCTAGCAGACTGGTGTTTCAAGCTACAAAAATGTCAGCTGAAGTCATGGTGGATTTGCTTTTCTGAATTTAGGAACAGATATTATTTGTGAACGGACTGACTGACGGACAGAGAGGCCCAAGTGGAAGCAGGATGCAGCGATACAGGCTATGCAGTGCAGTGACTGCTCGGCCTAGCTCTTCTTTCAGAAAATCTCTCTGGAGGGGAGGCCTCAAACTGTGGATCATCATCCAGGCCTTGAAAAGTCAGCACACAACCCTCCTTTTGTAGGCACCTCCCAAAATAACTCTCAACAGGATATAGCTCGTTATATTAGTTCTGTAATTTTATTTTCCAAATGATGCTCGTCTTTGAAGCTTGGCTGGGGACGCTGTAGCTAAGATTAAACGGGTTCTGTGTTTTGTGACAATACTTCCTTAGATTCACACATGGCTTAAAATATTATGTATATTTTATTCTATCTATATTTGATCTCTTAAAACCTGGGACACAAAATATTAGGTTACCATCTTCCATCCTGTTATTCATCTCTCTCACTTGACATGAATATTAAGTGCCTCTTATTTGTAAGGCCCTTGCTGGAGTTGAGGAAGACACAACAATGAGCAAGAACCAAACGGCCTCTGATCTCAAGGCAGACAGCCGTGCAGGAAGGTGGACATTAATTCAAAGATTTCACAAATAAACGTGCAGTGCAGCCATGGGGTGTGCTAAGGGGCCGTCTGGAGCTGGGAGAGAGTGCATTAGAACTATCTACTTTAATCTGAGGAATCTGGGAAGGAATGCTAAAGCCAAGATGGGCAATAGCATGCCCGGGGTCATTGCCAGTGAGGCTTAGCAGAGCCAGGAGGGTTGGAAGGGAAGGGAGGAGTTAGGCATGGAAACCAGACTGAAGAAGTAATAAGTGCCTGACTACATGGTTGTTTTTGTTCTAACAAAATTTAGTACCCAGGTCCTGCTCACAGATATTCTGATTCAACTGGAGGGGAAGGAACTAGATATTGGCATTTTAAAAAGTCTCTCAGGTATAGCAGCCTGGGTTGAAAATCATTAGCTGAAGATTATTTGATCCTTACTCTTCTGGGAAATAGCTAAATTGGTGATAATAGGAGTTAATATGGTTCAGATATGCATCTTGTGTCCCTAAGATGCTTGTACACATGCATGCCCAATGGGGGGGAAAAAAAGCCTTTAAAAATATTTAAATAGCTTTGACCTTTACAAAAAAAATAAAACCCCTCTTTTAAGATGAAAATAAAGGCAATAATAACGTATGCCTTCTTTTCCCCACCTAATGTTACAGGCATTCGTTAGAATCTCTGGCGTTAGAAATCTGAGTTCAATTTGAGTGGTGCAAATTTATGTTCTGCATCTTCAAAGAATTTTCCATATTTCTTCGGAAATCTCTCTCCATAAATCATGGAAGCTCCTTCCTTCAAAGTGAAAACCTTATACTCACCTCAGCTCTTTATTTGTTTGGAAATGATTCTACGAAAGACTCACTGGTTATAGAAATTGTCCCAATTTGACATTTTGTTGCAGTAGGAATGTGTGGTGTTGGAATTCATGTGATATGTATTCAAAATGTATTGCCTCCAAATAACTCAGTTTGTTGATATATTGAAAGCGGTTCATAATATCTCCTTTGATCTTTACAATGTAGTGTGAGGAAACTGAGGAACAAAAGACTTTAATGACTCCTTCAAGTCAGACAATTAGTATCCAAACAACAAGTAGGCCTGTCTCCTGTCTTCTAGTTTCATAGCTGTTTTTTTTTAATTCCTCATGCAAAACCTGGAAAATGTGACCTCATAAATCAGAACTTTGCTGAAGATTCTGAGCATGTGTCACATGTAGTAAAATGAAACTTACTTTTCAACTAACTCAACTAAACTCGTTAACTCCACTTCAAGGTGAGAATTATTTCCATTTCACATTTGTCCAGCAAAGTTCAATGTCTTTCCCATTAGATGGGCTGCTCTGTGAGGGCACTGTAACCAATGCCAAAGGGGGGCTCCCTGGTGGCACAAGAGGTTAAGTCTCAGCACTATCAAGCTTTTGCCACCCACTGCAGCATGAGTTCAATCCCTGGCCAGGGAGCTACCCAAATGGCACAGCAGACCTCTCCTGACTCGCCTACTGCTCCCCTCAGCAGTGTATTTCAGTAGATCCACCTGCTCTGCTCCCCACTCTCTTTGGTGGATCCTCTCACCTCGCCCCCCCTCCCCAGCTCTTGCATGCATAAATAAATAAAAATAATTTTTTTTTTTAAAACGGCCAAAGGCTTAGATTGGTCTCAGACTCTAAGAAAGCGCACTCATGCACACGTGTGCGCGCGCGCACACACACACACACAAGACCTATCTAAACTCTTCTCTGAGACTTACTTTTACAGACACAGAGCAGGGAGACTTACTAACTAATTAGAACTGAGCGCCATAACTGGTTGGAGTTGGGAGACACAAACAGGTGAGGGGCCCACCATCAGAAACCCAAAACTTCAGCTATTTGAAGAAAAGCCTCTTCATACTCCTCCACGTATAAACTGCCATGTGACTAGCCAATAGCCAAGTTCATATTTCTTTGCCCCTAAACCTCTTTTCAGCCAATAAAATTAAACTCCTTTGTTCTCATCCCCATTCTCCAAAACCTTATTCCCTTTCTTAATGGGGGGGGGGTAGATTCGAGTTTATCCCCCATTCCTTTGGCAATTGATTTGCAATAATTCTTATTTATTTATTTATTTTTCTTTCCTCAAGCCTTGTTATGATCTGGTCTATGCATGCTGAGTAGCAAGCCCATTTGTTCAGTTACAGGAGGTTCCCTGTCAGTCTTATTTACCAAAGTAACCCTTCAATGCCTAGCATACGTAGACAGTCAATAAAAATATGTTAGTCAATAAATGAATGAATATCTAAAAGATGAACTCAGCCTGGGAATTCTTTGAGGAAAATAACTAGAACTGTTGTTTTTTTAAAATGTATTTTTCAACGCTGTATTTATGGCTACATTTCCATGTTTGAAAATAGAAATAAACTATTGCTTTTAGAAAATGAATGTCAAATTGAACAAAACCCTCTTTGCTGGTGGGAATATATTGATAACGGTCTTCTTCTTGTCAATGAAATAATAAGAAGCCTTGCACTGTAGCCCAGAGTCAGAAAGAAGTAAGAAGCTATATAGGGCCTCCCTAGTGGCGCAAGGAGTTAAGACGCAACATATGAAGCTATCTGCAGCCCCTGCAGCTCGGGTTTGCTCCCCAACCAGGGGAGCCCAGCAGACCTCTCCTGACTCCCCCGCTGCTCCCCTCAGCAATGTACTTCACACAATCTGCCTATTCTGTTTCCCACTCTGTCTCTGGTGAATCCTCTCACCCTGCCCCACCTCTGACCTGCACCCAGTTCTTGTATGCATAAATAAATAAATCCTTAAAAAAAAAAGAAAGAAGATATATAAATCTAGAAATATTTTCCCCTGCCCCCTTAGGATTGCTTGTGGCTAATCAAGGTCTCTTGTGGTTCCATACAAGAGCTGTTCTTTTTATTTATTTATTTATTTTTATTATTTTATTTTATTTTTTTAAGAGCTGTTCTTTTTAATTTGTCTTGATTTATCTAATATCTCTCGGAAATTAGCAAATCCTTAACTAACTAGTTTGTCTGATGAATTAATCCAAACTTTCAGAAGATTAGTGCTGTTATCATTTTTTTCTGCTCTTAGTGTGATCAACCATACTGGTTTGCTCAGGCAGGACTATTCTGATGTTAGCACTGAAAAGTCCTACATCCAAGCAAAACATCAAGCCCAAGAAAAGTAGGACAGTTGGTCACTCTAATTAGCCACAAGCCAGTAGGGTTTTTCACCCACAGAATGTATTTTTCAGCCCTGACATGTCAAAGGGGCCCCCTGTAGCAGCAGCAGTAGCAGGATTTTCTGAGAATCTGTAGGAAACAGGCAAATTTTCACAGGCTCCTGGTTCTACGGAATCCAAAACTATGAATGGACATCTACATTTTAACAAGGTCTCAGGAACTCTGATGCTTGATCAGAATCACTGAGCACAGTTTGATCAAAAAGGAACTGAAGAGATAAAGCCAAAAAGCAGAGCACTAAGATGATCCAGTCCTTCAACTTTCTTCAGTTGCTTTGAGTCCTCTAACTCTGGCTAAGCACTCCTCCAATTGAAGTGGTAAAGAGGGTGTGGGTGGGTGCCTCCTAATATACCCTGTGGCTTCAAAACTTGGAAGACCTGGTTTATAATGAGGCTGGCAGCATTGCTTTCAGTGGCAGTACAACTTGGGCATGATGGGAAGAACAAGGGAAAGAATGATTTCAATATACGCACGAGCAATAATATGCCATATATAGGTCCATGCACAGAAAGAAGATAATAGTAGTGCTTGAGAAAGTGTCTTTTGAAAAGATATGCTCACGATTTTCTCTCTGGTTTAAACTGCCAGATTCCCAGAACCACAACAGACACCTCTGGACCTAACACCCACTTCCACATTATCCAGTTATTCGAATTCCTGAAACATCAATGACTCCAATGTGAAGTAAGCAGGCATATTTTACTAGTCTCTTGGACACTTTAGATAGGATTCTTAGTTCCACAGATACCATAAACTCCTTTGGGAGATAAGTGGGAACAAAGGCACCGAATACTTTCTCCTTTTTGAAGATAAGGGAACTGACAGGTTAAGTGACTTCCTTGGATGACTTTTTTACAAGAGGCATCAGGGCCAAAGGAAGTTAGGATGCTGGACTTCTGTATACGACTGGGGCCTTTTGGCTGAGAGGCATTCATTTTTTTTTTTTAATAATAAATTTTATTTTTATATTCCCCATACAATTGCAGCCCCCCCATTCTGACCCCAATCTCTCCCCTCCCACCCCCGCCCCCTTAAAAGTGTCTCTGGTTCGTAGTTTTTTGTTGATTTTGATTTTCACTTTCTTATATTTATTCGTTTTCCTGGTCCCTTATTTAAGTTTTCTAGATTCCTGCTATGAGTGAGACCATCCGGTATTTTTCTTTTTCTTTTGGCTTATTTCGCTGAGCATGATCTGAGAGGCATTCATTTTTAAAGACCTGAAATGGTGAACTTTTTAGAATGACTTGTCAGACTGATGGAGCGATGGCCCCCAGCCATGGGACTCTTACTCTGGATGGCTGTCAAGGTTAAAAGTTCTATTTCTAAGTCTCTCATCAGATTTTTTTATTGTTGTTTTAAAAATTTACTAACATGGCTCCTAATTGGCTTGTTTGGCTTGGAGAGTGACATTCATGCACTGGTCCCTGGGTTATTAGACCATGGGGAAAATGTAACTTGTGATTGGTGCCAGTGAAGACCAGTATCTTTACTTAAATTTGTTATTTTTGTGATTTTTATTGAAGTAACATTGTTTTATAACAATATATAGGCTGCAGGTATTCAGCATTAGAGTTCGACATTTGTATGTGCTTTATTACGATCTCTAACAAAATCTAATTTCCATTCACCAACTTCTGACTCACCAAGGAACGATGCCCTAGGATCTCTTGATATGGCAGTGTATTTTTTTAGGGCACTGAGTTGAACAAATTACTTTGCAAATCTACCCCCTTCCTATCTCCATTTTCTTGCCACGATGCTGCCCCATCAACTAATAATGAACAATACCTCCAAATTGAAATATACTAAAAATATTAATAGGAAATACATGGTGTGCTTACTTTGTGCCAGGATCTCTTCAAGTTCCTTACATATATTTATAAATCATTTACTCCTCACATTTGTCCTCTGAGGTAGGTACCCTTACTATTTCCATTTCGAAGATGAAGAAACTGAGCACAAGGAGCAAGATTACTTCCCAAGGACCACACAACTAGTATGCAACACAACTTGGGCCCAGGTAATATGATTCCGGACTTTGTGCTCTTGATTGCTTCCCCCAATTATCCTCTTTATCAAGGGTAAATTAAACTGAGTTTCCAATTTTAACTTCTCCCCTATAAATCTATCTACAACATATTATCACACTGACCATAGCAAACATTTCATTTGGATTCCACAGGACAGCTATAGATGTCGTAATCTACTAATAATTAGAATGTGAGCTGCCTGAGGTACTTTCTCCCACCCTTCCTTGAAGACCTCCATCTCACACATAGTCAAAGCTCACTTAGGGCTCCTTCATGCTGTATGAAAGTATTTGGAAAACGGCAAAGCACTCTGTAACATTTCTACAAAAGCACATGTATACTCATATCTCAGTACCAACCACAACTATCTTTGCTGTGTCCCTACTCTTTCCCTCTTTTCTATCTGTCTATATTTCATGCATGCTTTGCACAGACATTCCAAACCCACAGACTTTTGCCAATTTTTCCCAGTCTCCCCTTACAGCAGCCCTAGGAGGAAATACCCAGCCTGTAGTGCCTGGAAGTTTCCTCTGTCCTCTTTTCTCTCTTTTGTCACCAAGAAGAGTATTTTCCCATATTGCCAGGTTGGCCTGCACAATGTTTTAAAAAATAATTAAAACTTAAAGATGCTTTTCAATGATTTTGAAAAGTTAAGTTGGTTAAAAGTAGCACTATTGTTACATTGTTACATTAGTTGGCAATGATGTGAAAATTAATGCACACAGAACCTTCTCAGTACTAAAAAAGTGGCTCTTTTATTAACATGATTTTTCTTTAAGCTTATCTTCCAAATGGAATTCAGGCGTTTATAAAATTGGTTTTATTAAGACCCAAATCCAGCTTTTCTTGATTTTGTGATACTTTGTAAAAGGATCAAACCACTTGTGGAAGGGCTAGATTCTTTGCAAGGGTCTGGCATACTACAGTGAAAAATTAGCAGATGTACAATTGACTTCATGTTTGTGCTTGTTGTTTAAAATAATCATTCAGGGCCTCCCCAGTGGCACAGCGGTTGAGCGCTGGGTTGCGAAGCTGCCCGCAGCCTCCGCGGCGCCGGTTCGATCCCCGGCTGCTCCTCGGCCACCAGAGGAGGGTCCCACATGGCACGCAGACCTCTCTTGCCACCTGCTGCTCCCCTCAGCAGTGTACTTTGGTCCTTCTGCCTGTTCTGTTCCCCGCTCTGGCTCTGGTGAATTCTCTTACCCTCCCTCGCTTCTGACTGTACCCAGTGCATGTATAAACAAAACAAACAAACAAATAAATAAATAAATAAATAAAACATGCCTCTTTAAAAAAAATAATCATTCAATCAACCATCTCTTCCATAAATATTAGTGTTCTGAGTGAAAATTGAGGTTTTAGGTATCTAGATTCAGACTTTAATGGAACTGACCTAAGTGCTATGAAGCTGTGAGGAAAGAAAGATCTGAGGAGGATGGTGGGTGGTTCCATGGTCAGCTCTGGGCTGCCTACTCCAAGTCTCCAGAGGTGATTATGCTGCTATCGTGAGGCACATGGGGGAGCCACTGGACACAGCCAATAATTTGGGGGAGACGGAGGACAAACAGGTAGACCTGGAACTTTAAGACTTAAAAGTGTTGGACCGTGGAGACCAGAGTTTTAAAAACTGAAGTTGATATCCAGCAGCTCAGAGTCTTACCAGATATAATATTTTTTTAAAAAAGATTTATTTATTTATGCATACAAGAGCTGGGGTACAGGACAGAGATGTGGGGGGTGAGAGGATTCACCAGAGACAGAGTGGGGAACAGAACAGGCAGATCGACTGAAGTACACTGCTGAGGGGATTAACAAGCGAGATAGGAGAGGTCTGCTGTGCCACATGGGTTGCTCCCTGGCAGGCCGGGGGATCAAACTCGTGCTGCAGAGGCAGAGGACAGCTTTACAGGTTGCATCTTAACCACTTGCACCACCAGGGAGGCCCTTACCAGATATGATCTTAAGGCCTCCCCCCAGCTAGTTCTGATCCATGCAGACCCCGCATCTAATTTCTTCTGTTCTTCAAACTACACCCTGCCAATGCTCCCCTCCTTCACCCTAGTTTTGCAAGCCTACTGTGACAGCTCCTGCTCTTGGTCATCCCACTCAGATTTTCCCAGTCCTCTGTGCCTTTTTGCTCTGATTTTATCTTCAAGTTTGTTTATTTATGACAACAGCCTTCATCTGCATAACATTTATTTTGTGTGCTTACTTTGTAAGCACAAAGGTCTGTTTCTGTCACCCAGAGCTTTGTCCTGGGCAGCTGTGAAACAGATTGCAGGTCTCAGCTCCAGAGTTTGACCCAGTAAATCTGGGGTGGAGCCCGAGAATTTGCATTTCTAACAAGCACAGATGTTGCTGGTCTGAGTGTCGCACCTTGAGAGCCTCTGCTGGAGAGGTGTCTACAGCAGAATTTCCCATTTGGTGTCAAGACTGCATTCTGTGCCCTAGCTGTCTAACCCCTGAGCATCTGTGGTGGCAGAATAGGGCCTGAGGTGCCTGGAACTTGCTCCAGTTACTGCCTGAGGAGCGCCCAGCCCAATCTGTTACCCAAGGATGCCCTGGGCGCAGCACAGATCCTCTGTGGGCTCAGACCAGGGGGAGGCACTGCTCTCTGACACGCACAGCTCTGGAGGGAGGGGCAGGACTACAGGGACCGCCTCAGGAGTCTTCTCATGCCCAAAGACAGAGAGAATGAGATGGAAAGTCCTGACGGTTAAGGCTGTGGGACTAAACTAGTGAAAGTCTCTCTGGTATCATTGGGGGAAAACAGACCCCCTTCCTGGTAAGAAAGCAAAAAGTATTTGGTATTTAGGCACCATAATCCTAGGAGACAACTGAGAGCAAGATGGGGAGAAAACAGGACTCCTAGGCATCCCCCCCAACTCCACAGGCCTGCCTCTTTGCAAGGCCAGAAGGTTGCCAGGCTTTGTCCTTGGTGAACTGTGACAGAACCAGAGATTTATGACCCACATTTTAATAGTTTCTTGATTGGATGATTGGAGCGCCCTATATTTTTGTCTGCTCGCTAAGTAGTTTGGTGTCTGCATAAAGCCCAAATGCTGTAGCCAGACTCCCGGAGTCAATGGCTGCAAATATGAGGGGAGAGCTTAAGTAACTCGATTGACTTTCAGTTGTTGAGAGCATTGATTTTTTTTTTTTAATTGCACTTATGGTTTATAAGACTAAAATAGCACTGGACAATAGAGCACAGGTTGCACTATTAGTTCTTTAGACAACTCTTGACATATTCTGCCCTCTAAAAGGGACAGTTAATACACCAGTTAATGTATTTGGAGCTTTTAGTTCAAGCCAAAGGTTTCCACTGACTTGACTGTAGGACAATGGATGCGTATGTGCTTCCCCCTGGGAGGTAACTAAGAGACCCTCATGTCTCTACAAAGGTTCTGGGAGAGATGCTCCGCCTAAATGAGATGTGTCTGGGGAGACCTGAGCTTTCTTTTGTTCTAAATGTGAGCTGTGATCTGCCAGCAATTTTTACCTTTCCCTAGGGATCTTTGCTCTTAGAACCTCCCACCAGGCCCTGGGGCTGGGCGTGGGACTAGAGGCATTTTGCAGGGACACTAATTATTCCTTGGGTGTGTATAGTGTGGTCTAGTTTTTAGTGTCATAGAGAACTGTAAACATATCCTAAGCTGCTCCAGTTTTTAGAAATGAAGACTTGAAGCCTAAGAAGTTCGAAAAATTATCCAAAATATCATAGCCAGTGAGAGACAAGGGCAATGATTATAATCTAGGATCCTTGCCAGGACACCAGGTCTATTTTTGGGTGGGGGAACCTAAGCTCCATGAGCTCCTTGGAGAGAAGTTCTTATGAGTTCATCCAAGTATGTTACTTAAAAATTTTTGTAAATCAGTAAGAGATTTGAACAGACAATTCACCAGAGAGCATATGCATTTGGTAAATAAACACACAGAAAGTTGTGTGGTGTGGTGAGACAAGGACACACCAAAGCAGAGAGCAGTCACAGCCTCTCGTTAGGCAGAAGACAGAAGGCCTTGGGGGGACACCCTCTTCCCCATCTTCCTCCCAATTTAGATACTAGATCAAGAAACCAGACCTCCTTGGTGGTGCAAGGGGTTAAGACACAACCTATGAAGCTGTCTGCAGCCTCTGCAACACGAGTTTGATCCCCGGCCAGGGAGCTACCCACATGGCGCGGCAGACCTCTCTTGACTCACCTGCTGCTCCCCTCAGCAGTGTATTTCAGTCAATCTGCCTGTTCTGTACCCCGCTCTGTCTCTGGTGAATCCTCTCACCCCCTGCACCTCTGGCCCATACCCCAGCTCTTGTATGCATAAATAAATAAATCTTATAAAAAAAAAAAAAGAAACCAGTGCTTGTGGAGTCAACATAAAATAGATTAGCCCTTTCATTGGCCTTAAGTAGTCAGGTTTTAGAAATGTTTGGGAAAGTGGTACCAGGGAGAACTAAATACTTACACAACTAAAATATAAAAAATATAAAGATCAAGTCAGAATGACCTGGCTCTTTGAGGTGACACTTAGCTAAAGTGCAGCCACATGCAACGGGTCTGTGGAAAAAAGGTTGTAAGGTTGGAGGGCCCTGGTTTGACACATTTATACAGGTCAGGGGACTGGCAGTTGTTACACAAACATACCCTACAGAAGAGTGGCAAGAATTCATTCTTGAAAGGTTTATAAGGCACGCATTCTGTGCCAGGGAAGGGTGTCTAGATGAGCAGCCTGCATTGCTCTGTTCTGTGAGTTCTCAGTCCAGCACAGAATAGAACATGGGGGCTGCAGGGGAGATGCAGAGTTAGAGTGGGCGCCCCTTATCAGCTCAGCCAGGTTTGAGGGTGATTAAGGCTGCTTCCTAAGGCAGAGCAGCCGCAAGCTTCAAAACTGAATGGCCTGAGGGGGATCAGAAATATCCTTATGGATACCTTTCTTCTCTACAAATAACATGCAGGTTTCTAAAGAAATTCACTTGGTTTAAATGGTCAGT